AGACGCCCTTGAGGCCGTCTTCAGAGACGCCCTTCAGGTCGTCTACAGAGACGCCCTTGAGGCCGTCTTCAGAGACGCCCTTCAGGTCGTCTACAGAGACGCCCTTCAGGTCGTCTACAGAGACGCCCTTGAGGCCGTCTTCAGAGACGCCCTTGAGGCCGTCTTCAGAGACGCCCTTGAGGCCGTCTTCAGAGACGCCCTTGAGGCCGTCTACAGAGACGCCCTTGAGGCCTTCTATAGAGACGCCCTTGCAGTCGTCTACAGAGACGCCCTTGAGGCCGTCTTAAGAGGCGCCCTTGACACCCTAGAGACCTTCTATAGAGACGCCCTGGAGGCCGTCCCTTAGGTCGTCTGTTGAGACGTCCTTCAGACCGACTATAAAGACACACTCTATACACACACTCATTTAACACACTCCATTTAACTGTGAGCTATAGTAGGGTGTCGCCTGGCAGACTATTTCAAATAAGTTTTGGAACTTTTTTTTAAGTTTTTATTATTTTCTTTTATTTCAATATTTTCCTCATAGTGGCTCCGAATGTATTCTGTTGAAAAAAAATAAAATCAATTTACTTTCCTATCTAACTTAATGATCCCTAAGAGTAATACCAGTCCAATCTTCTTTTCCACTTTTTTCAACGAAAATGAACTCATCTTAGTTTGTTATTAGAAGGGGAAGGCAAAATCAAAATCATTTGAAAATTGCCACGAATATTGAATAATTTCTTAAAATTCAATGTTTGTTTTTTTAAACAAGTTGTTGTTTTAGTTGTTTTTTTTTATTTTTGTTTTTTTTTTTAGATTTTGCTCGTTCGCTCTAATGCCTTGTATTGTTTTGTTTATGGCATCAAATGAAATTCGATCGTTTTTATTGTTGAGTATCTATTTTAAACTAAAGCTATTAAGTCTTTACGATTAGCAACAACAACATTTTATGGCTGCTGAGCTAAAGTGTTGAGCTTAAGTGATTTGGTTTTTGGCTTTTGTGAAACTTAATTAGTTAAGGTAGTTAAAGTATCTGTTTTTTACAACTATATTTAAGTAGTCAACAACTTTTTGCCGAGATTTGAAAAAAGCAAAAAATACATATTATTATCAATATTAATAGTTAATATTTTCAAATACAAGATTTCACTTTAGTTAGTGTTTAGCGAAGTGAAATGTTAATGTTTGTTTAAATATTTCTTGATTTTTTTTTTGCAGAGAAAATTGGTGAAATTTTTTGCTTTTACTTTCATTTTGGGGGGGGGATAGATTTCTAGTGAGCTGATAATGAGAATTTAATTTAGAAGGGAAAAAGTAAAACAATTTGTTGTGCTTTGAAAACTGTTGAAACAAGTTAAAAGCAGCTGTCGGGTTTGCCAACAGATCCATACCCCCAGCCACTGTTCGTTTATTTAAATATATTTTGACCTATGATTATCCAAAATGTTGACCCTTTATGGGAGAGAGTCAATGTTGTCAATTTCGTATCTGACCGAAGTCTGATGTAAATGTACCAAATTTGGACTATATCGACTGCTTTATTCACCTTTACATGAAAAATGTAATAATTTTTTGAAAATTGAGAAATGTGCGTGAAGTACCAATTATAGTGGACAGAAGTATTCCACTGGAATAAATATCTAACAGGTTTAGGCGAATAATTAATCAAAATATAAAAATGTTATATATTCACACAAGATCTTATGTTATCGAATTTTAAAGGAATTGCTGACTTGTTTCGCAAATTATAAGATATATAAATATTAAAAATTGGGACCCTTTGTGGGGGAGATATCAGAAAAGTTAGACTGATGTCTATCATCTTCAGACCAGACCTTGTGTTAATTGTGTTATCGGATGCTTACTACGCATTTTTAGGCGTTTTTTGGGGGAGGTACCAGACCAATATATTCCATCATCACGACAGAAATATTGGGATGTGAAGTTTCTCATGCTTATTTCGCGATTTATGAGCTTCATAGTTATTCAAAAATTTGAATCATTGTGGGGGAGGTACCAGAAGGAATGGTCTGATATCTTTCATCTTCACACCAGATCTTATGTTGATATAAATATTGTGATGTGTGAAAAATGAATAGAATCGGATGATTATTTTGCAAATTGTTAGTGATACAATTACTCAAAATGTTGACCCTTTGTGGGGGAGGTACCAGAAGGATCTTTTTTTTAGTATAAATACTGTGATGTGCTAAAATTGAAGAGAATCGGATGTTTTCTTTCATATTTCATAAGAGTCAAATTATTCTAAATATTGAACCTTAGTGTGGGAGGTACATGTTAGACTGGACCGATATTGTTATATCGATGAGGCACGTTTTGGACGTATTAAATGATATATAACCTCTGTAACCATATGGCTAGGGTAAACAAGAAAAAAGGCATCACGATCGGCCTGCCGAACTTTGCATACTCTCCACAAGATAACATTCGCCAAAAATTCTGTTAACATTTTAAAAATACCGAATATAGCCGTTATATTAGGGTCTGTACGACGTGCACCTACATAGGCATTGTTTGTCACAAGCCATTACCATATTCAAATTCGAAACTTGAAATAAACAGTGAATAATGTAGCCAAAATCATCAAAATACCGTACATAGGGAGGTACCGTTATATAGTAGCTATACGTAGACCTGGACCTGCATAGACAATTTTCTGTCACAGGCTGTAGCTTTCATTACGAACTTCAAATACGACATCTCAAACAATTTCGGTGAGTATTGTACCTAAAATCTTCAAAATACCGAATATAAGGAGGTACTGATATATGGGGCCTATACGAAGACCTGGACCTGCATAGTTAATTTTCTGTCACAGACTGTGTTTCACATTAAGAACTCTAAATACGTAATTTGAAACTACTACGGTGAATAATGACGCTAAAATCATCAAAATACCGAAAATTGGGAGGTACCGTTATATGGGGGCTATACGAAAACGCCTTAGTCTGTAGTATCCCTTTCGAACTTCAAATGCCAAATATGAAACAATTCCGGTGAATAATGTCGCTAAAATCATCAAAATACGGAATATCGGAATATTTTAGCCTTCTATCTCAATTCGTTCGAAAGATAGCGTGATTACAACAGACGGACAGACAGACGGGCTTTAGCCATGTCTTACATAAAACATAAAACACTTTTTTGACTGGCTTAAGTCATCGGCTGGCTTCTTCGGTCGTAAGCTACCCTGTTCTCTTCCGAAGAAACCAACCAATGACTTAAGTCATTAAAAAAGCATTTCATATATTCTCTCCTTAAGTCCGTTTGAATAATGCTTTTCAAAAAAGGGTTAGGCCGTTATATGGGGGTCATGCCAAACGGAACCTCCATAGCCAATTTTATACTTCAAGGCTTTCCAAATTTGAAACAATAAAATGAGGATAAATGTGGCTAGGATTATCAAAATACCGAATATCGATGATTATCGTTATATCTGCGCTATAGGAAAACGTCTAACTAAATATTAAATGTTCTGCCACAGGAGCTAGAACCCATTACGAACTACAAATACCAATTTTTAGACAAATCGGTGGAAGAATGTGACAAAAATCTTCAAAATACCGCATATCGAGAGGTACTGTTATATGAGGGCTATGACAAAACATGGACCTATACATACAACATTTCGCCACCGGAGCTAGAACCCATTATGACCTACAATTACCAATTTTTGTGTCAAATAATGTGGGCTTTATCGTGATTTCAACAGAAAGACGACTGACAGATGGACATCGCTAAATCGACATAGAATTTTATGCTGATTATGAATATATATACATTATGGGGTCTATGACGAATATTTAGAATGACAAAGTTAATATACCCTCCTTTTCTAGGTGGAGGGTATAAAAAGAGAAATTACCTTTGTCATAGAGTGTGGTTTATTTCTGAATTTCGCATCGATTTACCCCTGCCTGGAGTTATTATGGACAATTTTGATCATTTTTATACCCTACAACACTATGTGTTAAGGGTATTATAAGTTTGATTGGGCCAAAAATTATGTAACACCTCGAAATATTGATTTCCCACAGAGGAAAGTATATATGGATCTTCCTATCTCGCCGAGCTATATATGTCCGTCCGTTCGTCTGTCTGCCTGTCCGTCTGTCCATGTTAATTTGTGATCACTCTACAGGTCGCAATTATGGCCCGATCTTCACGAAATTTATAATGAAGGTGTTGGGTCAGCGTGCCGACGGTTTTATATTTAGTTATTTTCGTTTTGTTTCTACATTAAATTAAATTATATTATTATTTATATTGGGTTAATTTATTCCATATTATTTACTTTCTATCAATTCCCATTTAAATGTGTTTATTTATTCATTTCGATCCATATTTATTTATATTCTATTTATTTTAATTTATTATTGTGTTTAATGTTCATTTTATCGTTGTTGCACTGTTCACGTTATCTATCTTTCGATGCTTTCTGTGCCTATGTCGATCATAAGCATAACAAAGCATTCGATAGGGAATGAGTGTTTTTTATTTTGCTTTGATCTCTAACGAGAGTTAGAAACCAAAAGCATCAATACATATAAATGTTTGTACATATGTGCATGCATGCCTATTTGAGCATATACATATGTACATTATCTGTTGTCTCGTCCTCTTCGTCTGTCTGTTTTTTGTTCAATAAATATTGTACTTCGAAACATTGAACCACCAACTTCTTTTAATTTTTTTCGCTCCCTTTTTTGGACTTCGGTTTTACACTGCCCAAGAATCTTTCTGCAGTGCGGGTTTATTTAAATAAAATAATTAGAACTCCCTGCCGGTCAAGAAAACTCTCTTGATCGTACATTTTGGCGACCGTGACAGGACAGTGTAAAATTTGTCGCAAATTATATCGTTTTTTGTGGATTTTTTGGAAACTAATTTTCTAAAAAATATTTTTGGCCCAAGCCAGAAAAATTGCACTGGCTCTACGTTATACATATGCAAAACATTGTTGTTGTGCGGATTTTAAGCAAACCAAAGCAATTTATGTTGTGAACTGTATGCAAAGAATCTGTGTCAATCGAAGGTTAAAATTGCGTAAAACAAACTAAATAATTTTGTGCAATTATAAACAATAATACAAAACTCAAAAGAGTTCGAACACATTGTCGTTGGTCGATATTTATCAAATCGACAAAAATATTAAGTTGCAAGGTTAGATAACCTAAAACCTGTGTGATTTTGTCGTAATATTTTCGCCATTTTGCAAAATCATGAGTTTGGACGATTTGAAACAACAACGCGCCATTACAAAAAAGAACATTTCCCGCATTAAAACTGTGATCGGCGCCAACGCAAAAGGTGAAGGCAAATCACTCTCTGCCGCAGAATTAAAATGTCGCCTGGGTATTTTGGACTCATATTTTAAACAAATTTTGTCGGTTCAAAATAAAATCGAAAACATTGACCCAGACGACAATGGCCGTGCTGACATCGAGGATTTGTATTGCTACATCAACTCGCAGATACAACACCAACTGGTTGAGGACGGACATAACACAACTTTTGCGGAATCGTCGTTTGCTATCGCTGTCCCCTCAAACAAGCTGCCACGACTGAAGTTGCCTAGCTTCAATGGCAAGTACAGTGAGTACAAAAACTTTATAAATTCGTTCAAACAAATCATCGATCGTGAACATGGGCTTTCGAATATTGAGAAATTCAACCATTTGCTGAACTGTCTCCATGGTCACGCTCTAGAAACAGTGAAAGCATTCCAAGTGACGAACGAAAATTATCCCAAGGCTTTAGAACGGCTGAAGACACGCTATGACAATAGCACCCTCATATTTATGGAAAATATTTCCACTCTTTTCGATCTGCCTGATGTTTCTAAGCCTAGCTCTGGTCAACTAAGAAGCCTTGTGGATAATGTTTCAGCCCTCTACAGTTCACTTCAGTCTCTTGGCTCGCCCACTGATATTGTAAATGCAATGCTGATCCATATTGTGATGGGAAAAGTTGATAGTGACACCAAAAGAAAGTGGAAAGACTCCTTGGACTTTAGCAAACTTCCAACATGGGAGGATTGCTCTAATATTCTCGAAAGAAGATGTCAATACTTGGAATCATTGGATTCAAACACAATTTCTCGTCGACAAGATCACCATTCTGGTAAATCTAACCAAAAATTATCGAAACATGGTTATACTTTCTCGTGCTCCAAACGTGTTTGTGCCTTCTGTTCCAAATCTGATCATTATATCGCACAATGTCAACGCTTTAAGGACTTAGATGTACCAACCCGCTTCGAAAATGTAAAGAAATTTGGTCTTTGCATTAACTGTCTCGCCAAAGGTCATCAAGTCACCAACTGTCCCTCATCGTTCAAATGTAAACACTGTTCTCGCTCACATCACACAATGCTCCATCGTTCGCAATTGGATCAAGGTCCATCCTCTCCTGAACCAACTCCATCGACATCTAGAGCAGCTGCAACTGACATTTCTGCTTCTGTTCACGCCCATATGGAAAGTTCATCGCCTCATGTTCTTCTCGCCACAGCTATGGTTTTAGTTCGTGATAATTCTGGCTCATACAAGTTAGGAAGAGCTCTATTGGATTCTTGTTCACAACTAAATTTCGTCACCGATGAGTTTGCTCAGCGTTTAAAACTACAACGAGTGAAAAAATCCGTCGAAGTGTCCAGCATTGGAAATTCCAGCACGAAAGTCAAGCATAACTGTTCTACAAACATAAAATCTCGCATTACAGACTTCGAAGTTCCGCTTTCGTTTTGTATTACGCCGCATATTTCCTATCAACCTGACTCGGAATTAGACGTTACTTCGTGGAATCTACCTCCGAACACAGAACTTGCTGATGACAACTTCTACAAATCAAGGAAAATCGACTTGCTCATTGGTACTGAAACATTCTTCGATATTTTGTCTGTTGGTCAAATCAAGCTTGGTCCTAATCTACCCAAACTACAAAAAACTTTGTTTGGTTGGATTGTCACTGGGAAATACAATTCTTCAAGAGAAAACAACTTTGTGTCTTCGTATTTGCTCTCAACCGAGGAAAAAATCAACATGAATTTAGAACGTCTATGGAAAATTGAGGAAATTGATGCTGCCTCAACTCAAACTACACCAGAACAATTAGAATGTGAAATATTCTTCCAAACCACAGTGTCCCGAGAATCTTCAGGTAGGATTGTTGTAAAATTGCCCTTTAAACAATCTTCAGACTCCCTAGGTCTATCACGCAATAATGCTTTGCAACGATTTGCTGCCCAAGAAAGACGACTGGCACGAGATGCAGAACTAAAATCCCACTATTCTGCATTTATGAAAGAATATGAAGATTCTGGACACATGAGCCTGGTGAAGAAGCCTATTTCGGAAGAATCACACTACTACATCCCACATCACTGTGTATTCAAGCCGAATAGCACCTCTACGAAACTTCGTGTTGTTTTTGACGCCTCTTGCTCTACGTCCTCGCATACATCGCTAAACGATATCTTAATGGTTGGTCCTACAATCCAAGAAGAGCTTTATTTGCTGCTGCTTCGTTTCCGGCTATATCGTTTCGCAATAACCGCAGATATCGTCAAGATGTACAGGCAAGTTCTAGTTGACCAACATGACCGTAAGTACCAATATATTTTATGGAGATATTCTGAGCAAGAACCAATTCGAACATACCAATTAAATACTGTCACCTATGGGACATCTGCTGCACCTTTTCTCGCCGTGCGCTCTTTGCACTACCTCGCTGATGAATACATGGAAAATTTCGAACTTGGCGCAAGAGCTATTAAAAATTCGTTCTATGTGGATGATTTTCTTTGTGGCGCTGAATCTGTTGAAGATTTAGCTCAACTTAAATATCAGGTGACAGAAATATTGAAAAAGGGCTGTTTTGAATTGGATAAATGGCACTCCAATCATGAAAGCTTTCGTCACGACAAAACCATTAAATATTTAAATCTTGATGACTCGTCAGTCACAAATGCTCTCGGTATTTCGTGGGATCAACAAAAAGATCAATTCTTGTTCTCGTTTTCATCGAAATTCAAAATTGAAAATGTTGTTTCTAAACGCTCAATCCTGTCACTTTCGTCTTCGCTTTTTGATCCACTTGGACTTTTGGCACCTCTTATCATAAAGGCCAAAATACTACTTCAAGAACTTTGGATACTCAAGATTGGCTGGGATGAATCTGTCCCGCAAGATGTACACACAGCCTGGCTACAATTCGTCAACGATCTTCAATCTTTATCGTCACTACATATTCCTCGCTATTGTTCATCGCCTAGTCCAGAATCCATTCAATTACATGGCTTCTGTGACTCTTCAATTCGTGCTTATGGCTGCTGTCTCTACATCAGGGTGAAATCCAGCTCAGGCCAAGTTTCCTCGAAGCTATTTACTGCAAAATCTAGAGTAGCACCGACAAAAAGAAAATCGCTACCGAATTTAGAACTTTGTGGAGCTCAACTTCTTGCAAAATTGTACTCCAAAATACAACATCTTCTCAATATCCCAAGGCATTTTGTATTTTTATGGACTGACTCACAAATAGTTCTCCACTGGCTCAAACAACATTCGTCGACTCTGTCTGTATTTGTTGGAAACAGAGTTTCTGAAATACAAGAGCTTACAAATGGTTGTAATTGGCGATATGTACCATCGAGTTTGAATCCTGCAGATATCGTCTCTAGAGGATCCACTATTGAAGAGTTAAGATCCTCAATTTGGTTCACTGGTCCGGATTTCCTCTCCAGGGAACACGAAAACTGGCCTCAAAGCAGATGCGATGAAATCGACCAAGACGTAGTGGAAAAGGAGAAACGAAAAACAACACTTCATCTCCAAGTGCAACTCAACAATATCACTGAGTTCATAAACAATTGCAGCTCATATCTAAAGATGGTTCGAGTTGTAGCATGGATCTTCCGGTTTTGGCAAGGATTATCTTCTTCAAAAACTAAACAATTTGTTTCTGACTCTTTACAGCCTCAGGAATTGGAGCACGCTATACTGGCAATCGTTTGGCACATTCAACAACAACACTTCAAAGATGACATTGTTCGAGCTGCAAAGAAGAAAGATCCTCAAGGCCCGCTAAAGTGTCTCAACCCATTTCTTGATTCTTCAACAGGCATAGAAATTCTAAAGGTTGGAGGCCGTCTTGAATTAGCAGACATTCCTGAGGCTCAGAAACACCCTATAATACTGCCGAAAGACAACAATTTTGTGAACTGCTACATTCGCCATCTTCACATCAAAAACTATCATGCTGGTCCCAAAGCTTTGATGTCATTGACCCGAATGCGCTTTTGGATAATCAACTTACGAAGTCTTTGTCGAAATATTGTCAACTCTTGCCCTCAATGCATTCGATATCGTCCAAAACTACTTCAGCAAATGATGTCCAATTTGCCTGCAGATCGACTGAACCCATCAAGAGTTTTTGCAAGATGTGCGGTTGACTTTTGTGGCCCTGTGAACACATATCTTCGGATTAGAGGAAAGATTCCCTACAAAACTTATATCGCTGTGTTTGTCTGTCTCGCAACAAAAGCCGTCCATATTGAAGCTGTTTCCGACTTGTCAACAGATGCCTTTATCGCAGCTCTCAAAAGGATGATTGGTCGAAGAGGTCTTCCAACAGACATCTTCTGTGACAACGGCACCAATTTTGTGGGAGCAAACAACAAACTGAGAGAGTTGAAAAACTTTCTCTTCGATAACAAACACCAAAACATAATCACAAATTTTTGTTGTAATGAATTTATTAATTTTCATTTTATTCCCCCTAGGGCACCCCACTTTGGTGGCCTATGGGAGGCTGCCGTCAAATCAGCGAAAGGTCATCTGAATCGCACCCTCGCAAATACCCGTTTGACATTTGAAGAGCTCGTTACATCTCTAGTAGAAATTGAGGCAATTTTGAATTCTCGGCCTATCTCACCGATGTCTTCTGACCCCAGCGACCTTGAAGCTCTTACCCCTGGACATTTCATCACTGGCAGTGCGTTACGTTCTCTCCCAGAACGAGAAGTCACCACAAACAACATCAACAATCTGAAGCATTGGGCCCAGATAACTGCCATAAAGCAACGATTTTGGAAAAAATGGGCACATGAATACATTAACGAACTTCAAGTGCGAAGCAAATGGTCTACTTCTAACTCGAATATCACAGTTGGTAGTATGGTTCTGGTCCATGAAGATAACATCCCTTCTCAAAAATGGCTGTTGGGCAGATTGGTCAACATTATCCCTGGTAGAGATGGAAGAATCCGAGTTGCCGATGTAAAAACTACACGAGGAGTCATTCGTCGACCCATCCACAAACTCGCATTATTATTTAATTGAAAGAGCCCTTTCAATGGGGCCGGTATGTTGGGTCAGCGTGCCGACGGTTTTATATTTAGTTATTTTCGTTTTGTTTCTACATTAAATTAAATTATATTATTATTTATATTGGGTTAATTTATTCCATATTATTTACTTTCTATCAATTCCCATTTAAATGTGTTTATTTATTCATTTCGATCCATATTTATTTATATTCTATTTATTTTAATTTATTATTGTGTTTAATGTTCATTTTATCGTTGTTGCACTGTTCACGTTATCTATCTTTCGATGCTTTCTGTGCCTATGTCGATCATAAGCATAACAAAGCATTCGATAGGGAATGAGTGTTTTTTATTTTGCTTTGATCTCTAACGAGAGTTAGAAACCAAAAGCATCAATACATATAAATGTTTGTACATATGTGCATGCATGCCTATTTGAGCATATACATATGTACATTATCTGTTGTCTCGTCCTCTTCGTCTGTCTGTTTTTTGTTCAATAAATATTGTACTTCGAAACATTGAACCACCAACTTCTTTTAATTTTTTTCGCTCCCTTTTTTGGACTTCGGTTTTACACTGCCCAAGAATCTTTCTGCAGTGCGGGTTTATTTAAATAAAATAATTAGAACTCCCTGCCGGTCAAGAAAACTCTCTTGATCGTACAGAAGGTGGGGCTAGAGCCAGAATAGAAGCCTATTGCTTTTGGAGATTATGGCGTAATATTTAGGGGTTGAAATGGACCAAAAACTGAAAAAAATTTTGATTTTGCAGTTGCTCTACAGGTCGCAATTATAGACCAATCCAAGCGGAATTTAGCATGGGGTTAGAGCTTAGAGCTGGGCAGAACCCTTCCAATTTGGATGGTCATCGGGTAATATTTAGTTGGTGAAATAGACCATAACAGTTGTGTTAAATAAAAGTCACACTTTCCATTAAACCGCGAATATTTTTAATCCCGGCGAAATCACAAATAGACGAACACGTCAATTCTGACCGTTACCGAGATGCCGATAGTAAATATATCGATAGTAAATATATATATACAATGTATATATACACAGGAACGGGATGTTAGCCAGAATGCTTATATCTCAAAAATGGCTGGACCGATTTTGACAAATTCTGTCAATTCAGATGCCCTCGCAAAAAAATCGCATTTAAAGATGCCAATAATGAAGTTAATATAGATTTGGTAGTATTTTGTGACACTTTTTTTTATTTTTTTCATATTTTTTATCGCATGCGATTTTTTCCATTTGACTTATAATATTGAAGTGTATCCTCACGAAAATTTTCACAAGGGAAGGGTAAGACCCAAAAGGGCTAGGCCTATTGTTTTCAAAGATGTTCGCAATATATTTAGGGATTGAAATGGACCAAAAACAGAAAAAAAATCCTGATCACACTATTGATGCCAATCGACACGCCTGAGAATATAGTTAAGTCAGGAAAGAATTCTAGCATTTTGGATGACCATTGGATTATATTTAGCTGTAAAATGGACCACAACATGTAAGAGCACGACAGAGTGGGTAAATATTGGGCAAATGTCTCTGCTCAAAATACTAAGGGTAATATCTGGGCAGTGTTCCATGAATTATGTCAAAAGCGAAATCTTCCAAAATGGATTTGGACTTAAGGGGGCTTCTAACATAACGTAGTGTTGTAGGGTATCACAGGGTCGACCCCGTGCGACTTTAGCCTTTGCTTACTTGTTTTTATTAAAAATGGAAAAAATAAATCTTTTGGAGAAGAGTAGCCAAAAAAGGTGGTTTCAACATGAAATATTTCGATTTTCCAAAAAAATCCACTTTTTCAAATATTTCTGAAATATCAATATTTTGCAGTTTTCAAACCATTTTGTCTGCATTATCTTATTTTTTAGAGATTACTCATTTAAACAAGTAAGCAAAGGCTACAGTCGAGCGGGGCCGACAGTTGAATACCCTACAACACTATAATAAACGATACAGTTTATATAGGCGAGAAACTCGAAAGAATTCCACAAGATATTGTGACAAATAATAAAAGAAAACCATTAGGTTTCGTTCTCTAATTTTCGAATAACAGCATCTTTAACTAATTTGCTCATTTCCAATTTATTGGTAGATGTTGCACTTAAATGGTCTTCCTAGATCTGGAACCAATATTTCCCAAAGACCTATAATCTCTCAGAAGTGGCAAAAGATTAACATTTATTATTGGTTTTTGACTGAAACGCATCTATATGAGATACAGACATTTGACTATATTCTTCAACGAAATCAGCATTAACGAAATAGTCAGAAGTGCGTCTTTCCTGCATTTGTGAATTCTCCAAAAAGTCACCGGAATGGACATTTTCGTATTTTGTCTACAAAAGTTGGCAAACTATTTCACACATTGAATATTTTTGGATGGCCATCCGAAACTGCTTGGCTTTTGCAATGTCCGGTAACCCCCATTCAAATGTGCGTGAGGATCGGGCAATAATTACGACATGCTGACAATTTTGCAGTTTTTTGGTCCATTTCAACCCCTAAATATATGGCGATCATCTCCAAAAAGAGTAGGCTTCTATTCTGACCCTCATCTGATCCCCATGCAAAATTTCGTTAGGATCGGGCCATAAATGCGATCTGTATATGATATCCTGATATCCTAACTACTTAGTTTTGTTAGCTGTAGACACATAACCAAATGTTTAATTCAAAATGAAAATATGCCAAAAATATGCAAAATTGAAAAAATATGAGAAAATTTTACTAAATCAATATTTTCATCTTTAGATAGATATTTTTATGCGATTTTTAAGACGTTTTTTCTTTCCTGCCAAGAGGCCATTCTGAATTAATGAGAACTGTCGAAATCAGTTCAGCCGTTCTCGACATATATGAGATCTTTCAAGCATATCTCCTTTGATAGACATATATATCGCACATATTTTGGTATATATCCGATTTGTTGGATCTTAACATCAATGTAAAGATCAGAAGTAAATAAAATTTAAAATATTCGCGGTTTAATGAAAAATTTTGAATTTTTTCAACAAAAAAGATATGGTCTATTTTACCCGCTAAATGTTATCCGATGACCACCCAAATTGGTAGGCTTCTTCCCCGCCCTAAACTCTATCTACATGCGAAATTTCGATTGTCGATTGGTCTATAATTGCGACCTGTATAGCTACTGCAAAATCCGACATTTTTTCAGTTTTTGGTCCATTTCGACCCCTAAATATTACGCGATCATCTCCAAAAGAAATAGGGTTCTATTCTGGTCCAAGCCCCATCTACATTCTAAATTTCGTGAAGATCGGGCCATAATTGCGACCTGTAGAGTGATTACAAATTAACATGGACAGACGGACAGAAGGACACGGTCGGACGGACATACATAGCTAGATCGACTCAGCTCGGCGAGATAGGAAGATCCATATATACTTTCCTATGTGGGAAACCAATATTTCTAGGTGTTACATAATTTTTGGCCCAATCAAACTTATAATACCCTCAACACATAGTGTTGTAGGGTATAAAAAGTTTACAAACAAACAAGCCTACCCCTGAAAATGTTTTGCTGATCTCTGATAATGCCTAAATTACGCCATGTTTGTTGCTTAAGTCTTTTGTTTTTCAACGGAGGTCGCTGGCATTCAAAGCCCCCCTTTTGATGACCATCTCTGTTGGTGTCTGTGACATCTTTTAAATCGGATTTGCAAGCATAAGCGTTAAATGTAATTAATGTCGACGTCTTTAAATTACCCAATTTAAATTAGACCACAAACAAATTCAACGGCCGAGAAATTATCTGCAAACAAAACCAAGCTAATGCCGAAATCCACAACGAAAAAAATTAAGAAGCCAAA